GTTATTTATGCCTTTTTGTATTGTTTCTTTAAAATATAAAATGTGATTTTAAGTTATATCAGAACATTTATTTTAAGATAAAAACAGTGAAAAACAAAATAGCTATAGCTAAGATATTAATCATGTTGTAGAAAGTGCCTAAAGTGTGTTCAAAAAAAGCCCTGGGGTCAAAATTGGCCCGGCTTGGAATATAATTGATTACCTAATATGTATTTAGTAAAAAAAATAGTCTTCTTTTTTTTAAAAGCCCAAAGAGCTAGAGCTTATATATTAAGCATAAAATAACTTCTTGTACGTGTCTTACATGTTTGTTCAAATAAAAAACAATCTGGAAACAAAGTGATCCCTCGGAAGCATTAATCACACCAAAATTACAAGAGAATTGCAGACTCGGTTTGATTGATCGGGTCCTTATTATAAAATTTTTAAAACAGACATTGTGCTAAATAGCATTCTTCTAAATAGTCAAAATAGCTAGAGCTTAGATATTACTCATGAAACATCTGTTAGTAAGTGTCTAACAGGTTTGTTCAAATAAAAGCCCTTGGCTCAAAATTAAGTCATTTTCAAAACTTGAGTAAACAGGGAAAAAAGGGTGATAATTTCCTTCCTGCTTAGTATACAAAGTCATGTAGTTGTTTAAATCTTATTTCAGCGTTTATCATAAATAATATAAATGAGAAAATATATTTAAAAAGTATTAGTACCTGACCAAATGTTTTCATTGCTTTATTTGATATTTGAGACGATTTTGAAAACAAATGTGTCAACGGGTATGGAATTTAGAGAGGAAACACAAATATACTCAATTCCAGAGCTAACAGATCACCTTCTACATGTAATATATTTAGAGACATCTTGGACAAATTGCGTTTAAATTTGAAATAAATTTGAATAAATCTATGGATAATGCGTCAGAGATAGAAACTTTCTCAATAGTCACTCAACATGTCTAGACACAATACCAATGCCTCCTTACTTTAATGTAAATAATACTTAAAATATTACTCACAAAAGGAAAACCTTAAACCCATTGGAATTCAGGCATACCTTTTTATACATGCAACCCTTCCCTTGCACCCGTTGCACACACCTCGTCCGACATTTGCACTTATATTATTGTTTTAGTTTTGACATAAATAAGCCTAAGATATGTTATTGAACTTTTAAAATTACATGTACTAAAGAAAGCGTTGTTTTTTTCCGAGAAAAAGGTTTTCAGGAAGCTACGTTTCTGCCAAATGAGTTTCATGGGGTATGAAATAGAGAAAATAAGAATTCCTCATGTGCTATAACTTGTCTAAACAATCAGCAATCATCAATCGACATTCCATGTCTAGCTAGACAATCAACATTCAGCTCAACATTCGATCTATAATAATAATCAAACAATTCTCAAAGTGAATGTTGAGCTAGACAATCAACAATCAGCGATACATTCGAACATTTCTTATGTCGAGCTAGACAATCGACATTCAGCTCAACATTCTATCTATTATAATAATCAAAAAAAATCTCAAAGTAAATGTTGATTTAGACAATCAACAATCAGCGATACATTCGGACATTTCTTATGTCGAGCTAGACAATCGACATTCAGCTCAACTTACTTTAAAAATAGCGATTGTACTTTGCAATCTTGTCGTGTTGAGGTTGGAAATGGTGTTTTTTTTACCCCGAAACAGAATATACTAGTAAAACGAGAATATATGACGATGTAATACATTATTTTCACAAACAAAATGACAAAAATACTGGGTCTCTTTTAAATATATCAACTTTGAGGGTTTGTTTGGATTCATTCATTTTAACTTGGAATTTAAAAAAGAAGAAATTGCATCTGATCATAAGAATCTTACATTAAATGCAAAATTAAATGTAGCGCCAGCTGCAGCTATTCGTGTATATGCCATTGTAATGTATGAAAAAACAGTTCAATTAAATACTATTGGAAATCAAATTGTTATTGTTTAAGACAGGCGCTCAATATTCGATCTATAATAAAAATCAAACAATTCTCAAAGTGAATGTGGAGGTAGACAATCGACAATCAGCTAGATATTCAGAATTTTTTTTATGTCGAGCTAGACAATCGACATTCAGCTCAACATTCGACCTGTAATAATTATCAAAGTATCCTTAAAGTGAATGTTTAGCTAGACAATCAACAATCAGCTAGACATTCGAACATTTCTTATGTCGAGCTAGACTATCGACATTCAGCCCAACATTCAAACTATAATAATAATCAAATAATTCTCAAAGTGAATGTTGAGCTAGACAATTTACAATCAGCTATACATTCGAAAAGTTCATAATTCGATCTAGACAATCGACATTCAGCTCAACATTTGATTTATAATAATAATCAAACAATTTTAAAATTGAATGTTGAGCTAGACAATCAAAAATCAGCTATACATTCGAAAAATTTTTATGTCTAGCTAGACAATCGACATTCAGCTCAACATTCGATCTATAATAATAATCAAACAATTCTCAAAGTGAATGTAGAGCTAGACAATCAAAAATCAGCTATACATTCAGAAATTTATTATGTCGAGCTAGATAATCGACATTCAGCTCAACATTCGACCTGTTATAATTATCAAAGTATTCTTAAAGTGAATGTTTAGCTAGACAAAAATTAATCAGCTAGACATTCGAAAAACTATTATGTCGAGCTAGACAATCGAAATTCAGTTCAACATTCGATCTATAATAATAATCAAACAATTCTTAAAGTGAATGTTTAGCTAGACAATCAGCAATGTTGAGCTAAATGTCGATTGTCTAGCTCGACATAAGATATTTCTGAATGTCTAGCTGATTGTCGATTGTCTACCTCACCATTCACTTTGAGAATTGTTCGATTATTATTATAGATCGAATGTTGAGCTGAATGTCGATTGTCTAGCTCAACATAAGAAATTTTCGAATGTCTTGCTGATTGATAATTGTCAAGCTCAACATTCACTTTGAGAAAAAATTGTTGATTATTATAGATCGAATGTTGAGCTGAATGTTGATTGTCTACCTCGACTTATAAAATTTTTGAATGTCTAGCTGATTGTTGATTGTCTAGCTCAGCATTTACTTTAAGAAAACCTTGATCATTATTATAGATCGATTGTTGAGCTGAATGTCGATTGTCTAGCTCGACATAAGATTTTTTCGAATGTCTAGCTGATTGTTGATTGTCTAGCTCAACATTCACTTGAAGAAAACCTCGATCATTATTATAGACCGAATGTTGAGCTGAATGTTGATTATCTAGCTCGACATAAACAATTTATGAATGTCTAGCTGATAGTCGATTGTCTAGCTAAACATTCACTTTGAGAATTGTTTGAATATTATAATAGATCGAATGTTGAGCTGAATGTCGATTGTCTACCTCGACATATGAAATGTTCGAATGTCTAGCTGATTGTTGTTTGTCTAGCTAAACATTCTTTAATGATAGTTTGATAATTATTACAAGTCGAATGTTGAGCTGTATGTCGATTGTCTAGCTCGACATAAGAAATTTTTGAATGTCTAGCTGATTGTTGATTGTTAAGCTAAACATTCATTTTAAGAATACTTTGATAAGTATTAAAGGTCGAATGTTGAGCTGAATGTCGATTATCTAGCTCGGCATAAGAAATTATCGAATGTCTAGCTGATTGTTGATTGTCTAACTCAACATACAATTTGAGAATTGTTTGATTATTATTATCGATGGAATGTTGAACTGAATGTTGATTGTCTAGCTAGACATTGAATGTCGATTGTTGATTGTTTATTGTTTAGCCAAGTTATTGCACATGAATTCCTCACGAAAGCCCAACACAGCAAAAATGAAAATGTTGCAGGTTCGGTTTGATTGAGTCTGTTCATAAAAGGTACTGTCAATTGAAACTACCGTCCATTCCCCCGATTACCGGCTTAAGCAGAATTATACATGAAAGTTGCTGTACTTGTCTTTTTATTTTCCACACAAAACAGTACAAAAATACATGTAGCATTTCTGAATATTTACTAATAACAACAAAAGTAAAAATAATCGGTCGTAATACAAAAACTATAAACTAGAACCAGTATTAGCAGACACATATTTTATAATGTAAAAATATGACAAAGATGGACATGATGTTTGGCAATTACCGTCTGGTTTTTGTATCGAAATAACCTGTCGAATAACAAAACTTCCGTCATTAAATAACAATAAGAGGTTGAGGTCTTAAAGATGTATGCCTGTTGCTGATTTAAATATAATTTAAGTCTACTTTAAGCTTAATATATATATATATATATATATATATATATATATATATATATATATATATATATATATATATATATATATATATATATATAATGTCGACATATTCTCCGTGGTATTTGAAAAAGAAGAAGACATTAAAATTAAAAATAAATCTATTGCATACACATGTTTAACACATATTACATTTTATATCAGATCCAAAATTATGTATAGGAATGCGATGCATAATACCACTCTGACAAGTCAGTCGTCAAGTTGTCAAATCAGTTGTCAATGCAGCTATTTATAAGTAATGATTTGTCTTTTATATCATGACCTACTTGTCTGATCCCGTTGCGGATTAGCCATTGCATTGGTTAAGTTTTTTTCCAGCTAAAATATAAGGTACACGACCTTAACTAAATGAAAATAGCTTGGATATGTCTCTATGTCATGGTTGTTTTGTATAACAGGAATATACGTCATGCAAAATGAGCCCTGCTATGAACTTAAACAGTATTGATCCAGTAAACTGCATGACATTATGTATGCTATTATTCCTTTTGGCGATGTGTTGTTTGAGAATATAAAGTCCAACAAAGTTCAAAAAAAAGAAAAACACAAGTATTGCATGTTGCCTACTATTCAAACAGCATGTGTTTGGTTTCGTTTGGATGGTCACTTTAATAATAATATATGACAGACAACCCCATCTCATGTGATATTGTCCTGGAAACCCCAAAAGACATGCCATTTTTATATATTTTTATTATTTTATTTATAAATTAAACACAAGATAATATAAAATTCAAATAGATAATAACAACTTCATTTCACTTCCAGCTTCTTTGACACGTGGTATAGACACCGTTTTTTTCAAACGACTTGGTGGCATCAAACGATTAAAAACTCTTTTGGTATGACTTGACTTGGTATGGACATGTCGTTATATTCATGTATGGAATAAAAAGATTTGAACCCTAGTTCGTTGTATACACCCCTGCATATGTCATTCATTTGTTCTACAATTTCCCAATTTAAAGCTCCTCTCCACCAATAAGCATTATTTATCGTTCGCTCCGTTTCATCTGATGTTTTGTTTTTAAAACTTTTAACTTTTATTATTTGTGGGTAATAACTTTCATTTGCATTCATACCTAAATATTTATATAAAATTTTAGACTTATTTAAAATATCAACGCTTAAATCTTCGTAGTATATAAATTTAAATCTATTCGGAAATTGTTTATACACTTTTTGACCTTCGCGAAAATCGTACAACATTTTATTGCACAATGATTTAGCGTTTTCTTTCACCATTTTGTACCTCTTGACTCGATACCAGTCCGTCTGTATTCTAGAATTAATAATGGCGCGCGGATCTCTGAAGAGATGAATGACCTTGAGATTGGCACGTGACAGCAGAAGATGTATTAAATTGTCTGTTGTAAGTCGTAGTACTTTTGTGACTTTATGTGTGGAATTTTTACACGTTCTTGGTATGTGACGTTGAAAACATGTATGATAATTACGTTGGTGGTTAAAACATTCGTTTGTTGTATTCCAGCTGGGACCTGTTAAATAAACAATGTAAAAACAGTTTTATCTATTTTCAACAAATGTCTAACATTTTAAGTTTAATGGCTAAAAATATAATGTTGTATCACTTTCTTACTAATTTGATGTAAACATTATTTATCATTGCTAGTTACACGCTTATAGGGAAAATATAAATGAGTTGAAAAGTTAAAATTACATGATGTAGCGACATAAAGTTTCTAAAATTAATTTATTTATTTGTTTTTTTATAATCTGATAACTGATTATTTTATACTTTAACATAACTGTCACTATATTAAATAGCGGCATTTAGTTCAATGCGTATTACTGTCAAATTACAAGCATGTTGTAGTTTGTTCCGCGGGTTACAAGAAAATGTAAACAAAACACCACACATCAACAATGCAGCATCTCTCGGGAGAGAAGTAAGAAACAAAAGGTCACTTTGCGTATTTTCAATGTTTGTTTTGTCTGGCGCCCCGCAGAGAGTAACTACGACATGACCCAAAGAAACATTAATATGCAATTTAACATCTAATCCAGACAAAGACACATTTTTGTCCTGCAATACACAATACGCTACTGAATTAAAAGAAGTAAACTGAATTCACTATTGAATGAGACATTTTCGGCCATTACACTTTAATTAACGGAACTCTAAAAACTGCCGTGTGTTTAGCACTGGTATTCCATCATATTAAGACAACAGACGAAACATTTTGCATAATATCTTTTATCGGTATTTTTTCCACTGTCATAGGTACGATATAAGCGAACCTCACGTAGTTCGCATTACCGTCTATTTTGATGTAGGTACAACATTCATGCTTTGAAAAATAAAACTTGTTTTTGACTTGATAAATTTGAATACATTGTGTTGGTTTTGAGGTCATTCAAAGTCATAAACTAAATAAAGCATGGTGAGAGTTTTCTTTTACTTTAAAGATAACTGTGATATATGTTGTGTTATAAATATGTGGAAATACATTTCAAACCTAAATTAAGAATGTAAAAACCGCAAACATATCGGATTATTGTTTGCCATCCGACGTACACCACTTACCTCCAAAGTCGCCTTGTATTGACTGTTTAACCACGATTTGGTCATAGTTCATGAATTGACAATCGTAGGTCCTTTGCAAGATAGTCTTGGCAATATCTAGAGAACTTATATACAGACTGAAACAAGTTTATAAATAGGTCGCTGTTAATAAGGTAGTGTTAATAATCTTATTAGAATTTCAAAACTTAAGAAAGCAGATTCCTATACATTGAGAACACTTATACAAATTATTTTAGAGTTTACGATGGAGAAACGTGAACAAGGTAAAAGGGGCGCATGATGGGCTCTTTTTAACAGCTTCATGATTTCTAAGGATCTCCACTTCTTTAAACTGCTCCATGAGTATGTATACACAACACAAAGAAGATGATAGCATATATAGTTAATAACATATTTTAACATAAACAAGTAAATAGGAGACATGGTATTATGGTGTTTGATGAGAGGTTTTTTTTTAAATATTATAATATAGGGAAACAAGACATCACACACACAAAACACTCGTTTGATGTTTGCACATGTCATGATTGTTTATAATGTCACAATTTCAAACTGAACCTATATTGAACCTGAATATTAAAATTCATATCTTCAAAATCAAAATTTGATCCATTGCATAAATTCAACATGTGCCCTTTTCACAAACATCAAAATAGTTACCCTTCTTGGTTGTCTACAAATCCATTGTATTGAACTGCTGTCACTGGCTTCGCTTTTCTGATAACCAAAATAAAGAACAATTTATCTAACCACAACATGACAATTTCGCAAAAAATATGAAATACAAATTATGTCACGAGTTGATATTTCATAATAGTCTAGTCAATTTGAGAACAATTGATTCAGGAAAGGGGAAACACACAACTTGGTAAAAAATAACTTTGGCCTATAAAAGAAAAGCGAACTTTATAAAATAATAACATGAAAAAAATAAGGCGGAAACAATATAAAGTACCTGCTTACTTGTTTGTAATTTCCAAACACTTGTTTTTACTTATTTGACATGGTAACTCATTACATATTAGGGAATTATTAGAATAAAAATAGCTATTTTGATTGCCTTTCCTCTTTAAAGCTATCATACTTTAAATGTGTGTCAATAGATCTTATAACATTGGAAGTCAGCTGCAGTCGTGGAAATTGTGAACCACATATCATTGTTTTGCAGACAATTTATATCTACAATTTTCATTTTTAACAAGGAAATTATTAACAAATTAAACAGAAATATTGCTTGAAGTGAACTTCAGCCTTTTCAAAGGTTAAATATGCCATTTTTAGAAAAAAATATATTTTAATGTTAATGGCAAATCAAAAAAAACGAAAAATGAGATATGCCGTCGATAAGAGACTTGATAGTAAGGAAACTCCTATAAACATAGGCTGATATATCAATGTACAGCTAAATAAAGTTAAGTAAAATTCATATATATACAACATATAAACGTACAGCTGTTCATGCTTGGCGCTGCTCAAGGTATAGTTAAGTTTAAAACACACTTATTAAAAAGAATAATATCTTTAATATACATTTTATCATTGTGAATGTGTATAAATGTCGTTTTTATCCATATGTACTTGAACATGTGGATTAAAGATTGGAAGATTTTAAAACAATTTGAAGTTAGTACTCTCTGTCTGCAGTAATAATATTTACTCTCCATACAGATATGTCATTACTTATAAAGTTAACAGGTTTTTAGCAATAATTACTGAGAAGAAACTACGGACTTTTTGAGTGTATTTGTATATTTGTATATAACAAAGGGGACATACTGAAAAGGGAAACTATGTTGATTTCTAAAAAGAGATGCGTATACACAATCAAAAATGATACGTGTATAACATTCCATAGTCACACACTAACTGGTTTTCTGAGAGAAGCAATACTAAGTGTTCAAAACATGCTACAAATTCACCGTTCGTGCATACTGCGACAAAATATACTATAATATTACTTTCGTTGCTTTACAATGTCAAACCATTATGATTCGGATCTGTAATCGTTTTTATATAAAATATGAACAAGCTCAACCCATTTCCCCAGCCACTACACCATCGTTAATAAACGTATTTATCCGCTTATTCTCGGTCTGAGTTCACTCGGAAACAAAAACATGCATCTTTATAACCCACACATTTCAAGGTAATTGTTTTGGAGTCATTTCCGTGTTTGTAAGTCATGAATGTGTTTCACCAACTCACTTGCATGATTGCCAATTTGTCCGTCTTTATTCATTCAACACCAGCGAACTTTAAATGATTATATGCCTATATCTTTGAATCGTTGTAGATACCTTATTTCCTAGAAAAAGAATATCAGAAAACTCAAAACTCACCATGTAATTGTCTCAATCCAGCTTATAATGGGGTTGTTTTGGGAAACAAATAAAGGAAGTTAAAAATCATTGTTCAGATTATATTCGACATGCTCTTTTTAAAGACAAACCAATTTTACTGAAGGGATTCAAATTGGCATATAGGAATGAGTATCACTGATAGTTAGGCAGTTACCTCACCACGTGCAGATTTTCAAATCAACATCTGAGATTTTTCTACGATCAGATCCTAATACGAACCAAATTCTAGCTGAGCTGTATTTTCTAGTTGTAGCATTTACTATAACATCAGTTATCTTAATACTAGCGCATGAATTTACAAGAAAACGCGTTTAACAATAGTTAAAACGTTTTCTTACTCAGGATAATAAAGTTATACAAAAGGTTAGACTTCTTGAATACAGACGTATTCATACTTTTTTCACATTCATCGGTCAGTACTAGAATGCGATACATGGATTTCACATTTGGCAACATATATAAATAGGTCTGACCAGTAAGCATGTTAAGGACTATACTAGGTTGTAGAAAACCCCTTTTTTACCGAGTGTGCGTAAGTTTACTATTGCTATTTCGTGATGTCGCTTAAGGTCTTCAGCGAATCCCATTTTGCATTTAACTAAATCAATGACTGTTCTTAAATCTGTGTATACATGATGTCAATATGTATGTTGTTTGCTGTACTACTGATCAAATTAAAACACAAAATACTGCACAAGTTTTTTTTTCGCAGTGATGGTTCTTAGAGATAAAATAAATATGGTAAACATAAATTGGTAATCAATATACTTACCTTTGGACCAATTTATTGAAAGAAATATGGTATAAAATGAGAAGATATATCTATAAAGCATGGTTAGAAATAAAAGATAAGGGAAAGTTGTACGTACAACTTTTGTTTTTACAAAGTCAGAGGATATTCAAAGTATACGGTAATGCAGCCGATGTACTGATGTATGTGGAATATATAACAGTTTTATTTACTTATTATTAGTGTACAGTCAGTGTTGACTCTCTATTTTTTGCTCGCGTCAAAATTGGCTCCGCCTTTTATGTCCATCTACTTCCATGATAAAGCCAAATATGGAAGTTGCAAAATAGTTTACAAATGTATATCACCGAAACTGTTAACTGATGCATTAACATTCCCAGACATAAAACTTGCTGTGTACGTTTACATGTCTGCATGTCTTAAAATTTAAGTTATACATTTCTAAATACAGTTTATCATACATTTCTAAATACAGTTTGAAATATATATGAATTGCATGTTACATGTTCCGTTGTTTTAAATCGAGACAATCAATACGCTTAATATAACAGTATGTAACTCTCGGATCGATAATTCAATTTTATAACCGAAGAATGAAATGTCAAGTTTCAAAGGTTGGATTTTAGTCAACGAATAGCCTCCATACGTTGCATTGTACCATATGAATTGTTTAACATTATCTTAAGGTTATTTTGCTGCTACCAATATAAACTCGAATAAGCTTCAGGATATGTAAATAATTTCAAATTTCCTTTCATTTACAGGAATGTTTTAGGACATCAAATTCGTTATGCATACTGTTACAAATTCAGACATTTCAACTTTAATACTTTGTACTGATCACAATCTACTCATGAAACATTTTAGATATAGCTCATAGTCAGTTGCTAGTTGACATGATACGTGTTTTGTAGCCTGCTTTGTTATTTACCACCACTTCTATATCGTGTCATTTCGAATAGTAATTATCCAAATATATGAGAAAATTTCCAAAAGTCTGTTTAATTGTTACATAAGTTAAATGGATCCCATCCCAAAATGTTATTTTTTCACAATTAATATCCTTAACAAATCTGATGTTTTCCCTTTTTGGCATACTTTGGTACACCTTTACTTGACTATAAGAACATTGAAACATTTTGAATATGTTCAAAAGATAGCTCGAGCCAAAGACCTGTCAAATACCTGCATTCTAGACGATCAGATCTACATGTCATGTTGTTACCATGCCAGTATGTCCAAACTGCAATTTTCCAAAGAGGCTCGTAAAGATAAAACGAATCTGTTCTATGTCCTAAAATAGCGCCAGTTAAAGTACTTCCGGCCCGCATGTAACTATTTAATAGTACGTCATATTTTACTAAAAAAAAAATCAATAAACAATACGTGGCGACAATCATAAGTCTGTTTTGAATCATTCAATAGCATACATTGTTAAATCAAATTAAGATAACTAAAACATGGTGAACGGAAAAAAATGTGTTTATATTTACATGTTTCGCCATTTTTTCTATTTTGGTTAACTTCAATTGCAACGGTGTGACATTTTTGTGACAAACAGAGGGTATGTTACTGATAATCGACGTATAAGTAAATAAATGTATATAAATCATTGCAATTGTTCAATGTCTTTTCAATGCATGTATATGACATGAGAATTGAAGAGTTATGTAAAAAATGCACTTACATTCAACAACCGGCTTTTGTGGCTCAGGATATTTTCTTTCATTCATGAAATATGTACCTTATAATAAGAATAAATTGCCGTTGAATTAAGAATAAACATAATAATACGCTTTTAGTCAATATAATTTATTGGGCTATGAGATATGCTATGTTATATATAGTTTATATATAATTCATCCGATAAGAAAAGGCTTCAATACACATGCTTTTATAAAATGTTAAAGTATATTTGCTAAAACCCGGGTCTTGGTAAAGTGCAAATTGAAATAAACATAATAAATAAACGGTTACATTTTCATTAACAGTAAATTGTATTGTAACGACCTTTTGCGGGTATTTCAAACGTACTGTATTTCTATTTATTCGGGTTGTAACACCGACTTACAAAATGCGAGCTGCCCAATTAAATTATTGTCATCCCGCAACAAAACCCATGACCGCTAAATTAAAACTGTCTCAGTTCTGTGAAATAGTTGTAAAATCTGACTTCAAATAACGAAGTTATGGGCTTTTACGATTTTGCTGCAAGATCATGCTGTGACCTGAACATTCAAAATAGCAACCAAAATGATGCACGTGACACATCGTCACACTATGGTGATCATTTCTGTGAAATAGTTGTAGAATCTGACTTCAAATTACAAAGTTATGGGCCGGACACGATATTGCTGCAAGGTCATGTCGTTACCTTGAGCTTCAAGGTAGCCACCTATATATTGTGCATGACACATCGTCTTAATATGGTGATTTTTTCTGTGAAATATTTGTAAAATCAGACTTCAAATAATGCAGTTATGGACCGGACACGATTTTGCTGCATGTTCATGCTGTGGCCTTGATCTTCAAGGTAACGACCCAAATGTTGCATGCAACGAGTCGATTTAATATGGTGATCATCTCTGTGAAATAGTTGCAAGGTCATGCTGTGATCTTGATCTTCAAGGTGGCGACCCAAATGTTGCGCATTACACGTCATCTCAATATGATGATCATTTCTGTGAAATAGTTTTAAAATTCGACTTCAGATAATGAAGTTATGGACCGGAAACAATTTTGCGACAAGGTCATGCTGTGACTTTGACTTTCAAGGTAGCTACCCGCATTTGCCTGCGACACGTCGTCTGATTATGGTGATCATTTCTGTGAAATATTTTAAAATCCGACTTCAAATAACAAAGTTTTGGGTCGGACACGCTGCAAGATCATACTTTGACCTTGACCTTAAAGGTAACGACCTAATTGTTGCGCATGACACGTCGACTCAATATTGTGATCATTTCTGTGAGAAAGTTTTCAAATCCGACTTCAAATAATAATGTTATGGACCGGACACAATTTTATTGCAAGGTCATTCTGTGACCTTGACCTTGACCTTCAAAGTAGCGACCTAAATGTTGCGTGCCCAACGTCGTCTCAATATGGTGATCATTTCTGTGAAATCTTTTTAAAATATGACTTCAAATAATAAAGTTATGGGCCGGACACGAATTCGGGACGTACGTACGGACGGACGGACGGACAATCCGAGGACTATATGCTCCCCCAAAATGTTTCGGTTAGCATAAAAAAATGTCAACTTTTACAACTATATATAAACTATAAAAACGTGACAAACCTACTAAAGGCTCATTTGCCAAACAATTTGGAACACCCGATATCGTCGTTTCGGCAACGTATTTTTGCGGCATATGGCTGCATCAATTATTAACCTCAAACAAAATAACTAGAATTCCACAGTTTACCTAATTGAAGTGAACTTCTATCAATATTGATTCATTTTCTTCTATTTCACGGTATTTTTAACTTGTCACAGTCATCTGATACATGCGTTAAAACACGCAATCTGACTGGACGAGCGGATGGACTCCAAGATTGCCTCGACAAGTCAAAACACCGTGACATGGGAAAAATCGCTAGGACGTTGCGAACATGTAGTTTCTTAGATTTACAAAAGAAACATGATTGATTAATGTAAAAGTATACATACGTTGTAGATGCACGTTGAACAAACATATGAAACCTGAAATATATTTGTTTTCAATAAACGTTTACATGCCTTGAAAACAATGTAATATATTGTAATATAAATAATTTGTGGAATTTCAGTATTCACTGTCCTACAGTGATAATTTAGACAGTATCCGAATTGTATTTGCAAGGTTACATATTACACTGTTTTATTTTTTTCTTACAATTTATAGGGCGCAACTAACGTTTTATAGTTAATTCATTAATTAATACATGTTTAAAGATTACCTGTGCCACAAGCTAATATTAAGGTAATCCATTTTTCTTTAGTCATGTTTCGAAAGATGTCCACCTTTGTGAAACAAAGGTTAATTTGTCGTCCTAACTTTGCTTATTGATTGCTGATTGAACGACAATTTTGTAAAGTAACAATGTTATATTGACAATCGTCATAAGTCCACGTGGGGGCCATGTGACCATTGGTGAAGCGTGTATATGAACGTTATATGTACACGCTTGGTTAATCAACATGGCACAGTTGTTTCTTTTTAACAAATTGTTAATAAAATTTATACTATATGAACACATGTTAGTTTCAAAAGGGTATTTGGGTGAAATTAATAAATGAATAAATATAAAAAATAGATAAATTAATTAATTAATTAATAAATGAAAACATTAATTAATAAAAAGACTCGTAAATAAAAATAAATGAATAAAAAAAATATAGAGATGTAAATGTGTAAATTGTAATTAATTGCATTAAGACGTTTGGAAGACATATCTCTAACGTCTCAATAGTCCGACTAACTTATTAATGGGAATTTCATTATGATTTTGTTTTGTTATTTTCAACTCAATAAAAAAAAGAAATTATACCATGACCACAACGTATTAAATAATTTAAGCGATTAAATAAAAAGTCCACTACTTTTGTTCACAAGACTCAGAACAGAAAATTTACAAATAACACTATGAATACAGTACACAGTTTATCAAATGTGCATAACTCGTTTCCGCTAGACGCTTTATAAATGCATGGTGAATTAAGGGAGTGTATATATGCGCAGTGTTTTTATAAAAATAATATTTGTAGTTCAAAATAATAATTTGTAGAACAATTTACAAATGTGCATGCGTATCCGGATGATTCTACGCGTCAGGCATATACAGTTATTGCTTTGGAGCTGCAGATACTTACTTTGGGTATTTTGCCATCAAATATATTACTTTGAAGCATTCTATATTTCACATGGCTAACATTTTGAAATTACTTTGATTACATATGTTTCTTAACCATAAAACACAAGTGATTACGTTGCAACAGACAAACAACCTAGATACAATCAAACGGTATGATACAGAAATGCAAATACATACGTAGAAGCAATGAACGAGGACGTGTCCGGGTCCGGCGGACGTCAAATTTATCTCCTTCTTCCTATTATTTGTAATAAATATGTTTTTTTTTATACTGATTAATGCATTTTTACCTTCGAAAACATAAGTACTGTAAGGAAACGAAGCAAGTTAATCCAATACTAATATTTCATTTAGCAATGTTTGTTCGAATATGAAAGTTTATAACAAAAAAACATGCACTTTTGATATATTAAGCTTGTTGGAGAATAGCTTGCACTATTGAATTAGGTTTTATATCGAAATCATTGAAATATATCTCAAAATTTTTGTTTATAAACGTGTTGAAAGGGAAAAAAAAGAAATAGGTGCCTCATTGCTCCTATGGCTACTATCGAATAAATTGATAATTTTATTGATAAATAAATTCGTTGTTTTATGTCTTTTTAAATGACTTTCAAACTAAGATTGCAAGGGTGGGTCTACCTGTAATACAAAAAGCAGTATAGTATCTATTTTAGAACATGATTTGTGTATTGTTTAAACTGTGTCGTGCCTTTATGCCTCTGCTCTCAATGATACTAAACGCATGTATGATTCTTGCTATTTTTTATTGTATTTACACAAGGTTTAATTTGATTAAGATGACAAGGTCGACAAAAGCTGGACATAATAAGATGTAAAACAGTGGAATTAAATTGCATACACATATTTGTACAGGAATGAAATGCTGCAACATAAGTTTCATAATAAATGATAAGGCACTGTAACCATGTTCGAAATAACAGTGAGGTAATAAAGTTTGTCATTTATTATTTGAAATGTGTAGTTCATATACCAATTATTTTTGGTTTGTGCATTATATCTTTAATACAAATACACATTCAATCTTATCTATGTTTTACTCTGAAATTAAGATACTATTAAATTGCATGAATACTTTGATTTATATGTATGTGGAATTTGATTTTTATTGTATTTTCCATAATTACAACAACAACAAAAAACACTGGACATGCACTGAATGCAGTTGACTTATACATGAATTTTAGTTAACACACTGTCATTCGTATGAATACAATTTAACTGTGATACATGCACAAGAGAACAGTCTCCCAACTATGACAAATAATGAATTGATAGTTCAAATAGCTAGTTAGTTGACTCGTTTGGCCGTTAGTTATAAGTAATGAGCAAGCATTTTTCATATGGATAATAGTTAAGGTAATGTATAGGTGCCTCAAGCCCTTCTTAAATTCAAGATTTGGTTCAGAAAAGTAACAAGAGCTCGATTTTCGTTCAGTAAATTATGTTAACATTCTGACTTATTTTGTCAGCTTATTTTGTCAGGGGAAAATATCTCAAATTCAATAAACTTATAACGTAAGCGATTCGTAAATGTATAGATTATTTATTTTACGAGAATTTTTGTTAATAACAATATTAAACTCTCATCCGTTATTTTCAAAGACGGCATTTAGGATCAGATTGACCCAAATTAATGATTGTTGGCTGCTAAGGATATGCATTTATTATCAAAAGGGATATTGAAGCATTTAATTAATTCGTCACAACTTTGGGTAAGTTTATTGTAATCAAGACTAATCAAGATATTCTATGATGAACTTATACCAGCACAAGTAGTAAAGTGAACCCTTTAAAGGTCAAATTTAACGATCTTGTTTAGTTCATAATATCAAAGTATGTTACGTAAAAAGAAGATTAAACTCGTTTGCAACATTATAACCCTCCGCTTTATACCATAAATCACCAGGTAAAAATTCGCATAACGCACCGATTTTTACAAGCTTGTATGAATTACTTCCCTTTGTTGTGACGTCATTGTTGAAATTAGGACACGCCGCCATATTGGAAATCATAGCGAAACTGTAAACAATCACGGATCATTTAACTTCAAACACTGCTACTATTTAGTAAACTCATGGATTTCTCTGACGAATCGGAGCTTTATGAGGACGATGTCCATGAAATACGACCGTATATGTTTGAGCCAAGAATTGAAATCCAGAATCAGGAAGCAGAGCAGAGCGAGTCTGACTCTGACTCTTCTGACAACAGTTCTGATGATTCTTACATCGGAAACGTAGATGATTGGTCAGTGTTTTTGTGTGTAAATTGTTTTTTTTAATTGTTGACAGTAATCTTACATTTTACCACACTATTTTACTGCAATTATTCAATTAGAATCTAACAATAACTAGAAGTCCACGAATTTGCAAGATTGGTCGAACATAGCAAAAGATACTTCAGCGAACAGGTTTTATAGTTCTGCTTGACCTGTTTACTGTCGCAACGTCAAAATAAAAGCGACATATAAAGTTATGGAAGCCAGAACTAGGTCGAACATAATGATAATCACACATACCTACAGCTACACGGGCAGTTACATGTATGCACATGTATGCATAGATAATAATTTAAATAAACTTAAATGTAAATTATTAATTTAGTGCATGTTGACAAAAATAAAAAGACTTGTAGGATAATCCGATTTTTTCAGACAAAAATGAATCCTTTTATAGGACGCCTGAATAATTTCACTTGCACCCATTTTATTCAGTTATTACTTTTTTTCAGGTGTGAATGTGGATGTTGTGTTAACATGCCTTCAGCCAATGAGAGGAAGTGCTGCCAATCGACAAACATTGTTGATGGGAAGGCAGAGGCAGAAGGGGTACCCTGCATCACCCTTCATGAGGGGTTCCAGGTAAACTGCCTGAACATCCATGTGTTGGAAACCTCCTATTACGAGTTTGTTCATGACCATGGGCCAAGAGAAGAAAATCTGGAAATTCATGAGTGAGTTGAATATTCAATCAGTGTACAGTAATAAGTATTTGTTTTTCAAAGAAGTTAAACTTCAGTCAATTTTCAGTGAATTTAAGATTTTTGAATTGACGAGCCCGAATTCCAGTTTTGAATTCATTTCTAAATTTTCTTAAAATTTTCACTGGCCCCC